GCTAAAAAAATAAACATAGGTTATCAATGATACAACTGTAATTTTATTTCTAGATCATTTACTATGCAATTTATACATAAAATACATAGGTATATGTAGCAATGGAATATTTTATAATATTTTTTAAACTTATGGGCATTTTTTAATGTCAGTGAATAGCCACGTTATCATTTTAATGACTGAATTTATCATTTTTAAAGCAATTTCTCTTTCCAGTGTTTTGTTCATCTGTACAGAGATGCAATGCACATCTTTTGGTATATTTTGATATACCTGTGGAAGTTTTTCTTCAGGTTCCTGGATAATGTTGAATTGCACTTTGTGTAATTTGAAACTTTGATAAATATTGTTATCCTCCATCTGGTAGTGGAAGCTTTGTTGAACTTGGCAAGTGGAGATTACTCATGACTTAACAAATGTTTTGTTTCCTCCAGGGACAGCAAGGGACAGGGCAACATGAGAGACTGGACTGTGTGCTACACCAGAGAATCTACTAGTAGGAGAATTAATCCCTAGAGAGATTGAAGTGAGTTTCAGGATGGCTAAAGAAGAGCCCCCAAGTGCCTCAAAGGACTTGCAGGAGCTGCAGAGGAAGTTGTCTTTGCTGATAGAGTCCTTCCAAAATAATGCAAAGGTCAGTTTCCAACCAATGCATATAACGGAAAACCCCAAATTAACACTAGTGCAAACAATCTAGAAAGTTCTTTCTTTCTCAAGTAGAAGGAATTTGGAGATACGTAAGGAATCTTTCTAGCTCATTACCCTGCCATGTTGAAGTTGTGACCTTCAGTCTTTGTCCAGTATGGCTGCTAGAGCATTAGCCATCATATCCATATTCCATGCAGTAGGATGGAAGGAGGGGGAATAAAGATTTGCAAGCCATCTTCAATTTAAGGAGATTTCTTAGAAGTCACAAACAACACCAATTCCATCTTGTAGGCCAAAATTTGGTTGGATGACCACCCCTAGTGGCAAGTGTAATTCTTTAGCTGGCTTTAAAGGGGCCACTTTCACTCCATACCTCAGATATCATCATTTTTTAAATTTTGTCATTAATTTTGGCTTATCTGTTACCCTGAAAATGAGGGGCCCAAACCCATTTTAAGATTTGAGTGCAGTGTTCCACTAGAAATCCAGCATCCAATAGAAATAAAATTTGAGGTTGGGCACAGTTGCTTATGCCTATAATCCCAGCTCCTTGGGAGGTAGAGACACAGAGGATCGCTGTTGGAGGCTAGCCCAGGCAAAAGTTAGCAAGACCCCATCTCAACCAATGTCTAGGCATGATGGTATACTCCTGTCATCCCAGCTAAGCAGGAGGCATAAACAGGAAGATCATGGTTCAGGCAGCCAAATAAAAAACACAAGTCCCTATTCAAAAAATAACTAAAGCAATAAGTGGTAGAGTTCTACCTAGTAAGCATGAGGTCCTAAGTTCAAACACCACTACTGCCAAAAAAAAAAATATATATATATATATAACTTGTCATATATGTAACAAAATTATCTAGTAGCCACATTTGGTAAATAAAAAGAAGCAGGAGGATTCATTTTAAGAATGTGTTTTATTTAGCCTAATATATTCAAAATACTATAATTTTAACATGTACAGAAATTATTAATGAAAAAAATTGTTAATATGTTTTATATTCTTTTTTTGTACTAACTCTCTGGAATCCATTGTATATTTTGTACTTATAGGACATTGTGATAAAAATTAGCCACTTTTCAAGTAGTAGCCACTCAATGGCAATGAAATTTGAGACAATTTTGTTTTTGTTTTGTTTTTGTTGGTACTGGACTTTGTGTTGGTACAGGGCCTTGTGCTTGCTAGTCAGGAGCTCTACCACTTAAGCCATGCCTCCACTCCTACATTTGAAATAGCATATTCCATTTTCTTGCATATTTGTTGAAGAGGGTACTGTTTCTTGCACTCCTTCCCTTGCTGGAGTGAGGTTTTCTCCCTCCCTCCTTGGTTATTACTGGAACTAACTGGCTTACCTGGGGTCAACTGTAGATTTTAGAGAAGATATAGGATAGAAAGAAATTTGGGTCAGTTGTGTTGTACACTTGACTGGAGACACACAACCTTCATTGCTCCTTTTTTTCTATCTTGATTCTTTAGGCCTTGCTCCTTGCAGTTCTTTAAAACCTTGCTTAAAACCTCTTTCCTTAGGCTCCGCACTATCCCATGTTTGCCCTAAGCTTAATTGGTTTTAAAGTCATTTGCCCCCAGGATTGCACTATCTCATTTCTCTTTTGCTCTCCTAAAGCCTGGGTGTTACAAACTTGCAAACAGCCACACTTACAACCTGCATATGCAAAACTCTTAAAGTCTTGGTCCTTAGACTTGCACTGTCCACTGTCCCATGTTCTCTGGCTTTTCTTTAGCTTTAGCTTTCCTAAGGCCTATGTATGAAGTTCTTTCTCAGCTTTGCTTTCTGAAGCCCACGTTAAGCAATTGTTCCCTTTTCCCTTGACAATTCTTTTCCCTTTCAAAAGCTTCCCACTCCAAAAAGCCCAAAGCAAAGCCCCAAAAGCCCCTCTTCTGCCTTCAGGGGTCTTTTACAGCAGCAAACAGAGTGGAGCCACTGGGAGGGGTGTGACATTGTAACAGGAGAAACCTGCGTTCCTGGTTCTCTGAACACAACTTAGGAGATGCAGCTCCTAAGTTTCGTGCCTATCTCAGCCTACAGGTAAAAGCAATTAACTGCAATTAACTTGCTTGTGTCCAGTTCTCATAGGCTTTAATCCGCTCCCCACAATTTATCTGTATTGTTTTTTTCTATACCTTTTAGCATTTATAAAGACTACTGCCAGAGATGATACCATTGACATTTTTGCTATGTTTCTTTCTAGACTTTCTGTGCAGTGAGTCCATAAAATCCATATGCATATGTAACAATGTGAACTTTTTTGTGATCTGTTTTTTTCCTATTGGACAGGATAGTTCTACTAGTTTCTATTTAAAGAGGTATTTCTTTGCAATCTAAAGCAATGCGCTCTACAAAGGTCTTTTTTGGACTCACTCCAGAATGCATCTGGCACTCTGTGGATTTACCAAGCTATTTTTAAATTGGACAAGCAGCTTTCTAGTCAGTTGGCTGAGAATCTTGTTATTAAAATTTAGCTCAGTAAGAAAGGTCTTCATGCCCTTTCCATATTTGCAGCTGATCTCATTACTTGTGGTAGTTATGTTTTATTAAGTCACCACAAACTCTGAATTGGCAAACACTGACCCATTGCTCCTAAGGGAAATACAGAATTCAGTCCTTCAGACCTCTAGTTATGTTTTTATCAACAAACAACTTAGTTTTATGTGTATTTCTCTAAAGATACTTTTAATACTTATTGTTGATCGTTAACATTGAACTCAGAGCCAACAGCACCGTAACTCATGTCTTGAGTCAACACATGCATGTTCTAACACATGGACTTTCTCCATAAAGCACATCCTGATTCTTAAGAACACTAGACAGCACTTTAGTACAGCACTTGGGGGCCATTTTAAATAGTGTTATCACCAACCAAAAGCACAAAAATGAAATGTGAAGTGTGGCACCATGATGGTACAGTTTAGATTTTGAGTGTCTCCCAAAGTCCCATGAATCAAAGCTTGGTCCCCAAGTGGTAATATGAAGAGGTGGTAGAACCTTTAAGAGATAAGGCACAGGGGGAGGGCTTTAGGTTTTTGAGGCCTGCCCTTGAAGGGAATGTTGGAACCCTGACCCGCTTCTTCCTCTCCTGCTTCCGGGCCATGAGGTGAGTAGTTTTGTTCCATGACACATTCCTACCATGGTGTGCTGCCTTGCCACAGAGCCAACTGATCATGGCCTGGAACTTCAAAACCTGTGAGCCAAAATAAACCTTTTCTTTTTCTAAGTTGATACCTCTGATATTTATTATAGTAACAGAAAGCTGACTTATCCACATGATAAGGACATCGTTTAAAGAACTAAAACAGTTTCTCCTTGTTTTTCTCCATTCAGCTGAGAATGTACATGTCAGATGACTCAGTATTTCTCTGCTGTGCACATGCCCACTAAATGACCTCAAAAGCACCATAAGTATTGATTGGAGGTTGTGAATACATTATAGTGAGTAAGAAAATTCTCAGATATGGAATTCACAAATAATGATTGGTTGTATATTTACTAATATTGATGGAGCACTTACCATATGCTAAGCCCTGTGCTAGGCATTCGGCATGCTTTCATTAATACTTAATGTCCACCTTCCAATGTAGGCATTTCAAAGCAGCTGAACTCACTTATTGGCAGTTTTTCATTCCTTCATCTCAGCTCCTCAGCTCTGTTCATTGGAATAGGTTTGGGTTAGATAACTACCAGGCCAGCCCACTTGCAGAATAATAGAAAAATTATCGGTTATTTATTCTAAATAGTCTTGAGGTAGAGGAGTTTCTTTTAAAAAATTTTCATTGTTGGGTTGGGGGCAAGTGGTACAGTGCCTTTATAGCAAGTGCAAGGCCATGAGTTCAAAACTCCAGTACTGCATGTATTGCATGCATTGTATTAATACTAATTGTATCAGTAACTCTGTAAGGTGATTTTGGAGGAAAAAAAGGAAGCAAATCACCTTCAACTGATCACTGACAAATGCAGTGGTGGTTATTATTATTACAACCCTTCAGTATATAGTGATAGCAATTATAATCACAACAGAGGTACTTTGTATTTTTATTATTTTTATATTTACTTGATTATGTATCTTGCAACTTTTCCATATTGAAGTGTGGGTTTTCTTGGGCGGGGGGAGGATGGTACTGGGGTTTGAACTCAGGGCCTCATGCTTGCTAAGCAAGTGCTTGTACCATTTGAGCCATTCCACTAGCCCAAACTGTATTGAGGACAATTACATTTACTGGCAGGACATCAGATCACATAGGCATCCCCTTGTCTCTGGGAAAGTTAGATGATTTTTTCCTCAATTAATTTGTGCCCTTTCCTCCCATGTGAATGAACCCATTGAATTCCCAGTAAGAATACATGGGCACCAAGATGAAATGAGTGTGAAATGGCTCCATCATCTCTTCCAGGAAACCTCTGGAATGCATGGCCCAATCCTAATTGTCTTACTGTTATTTTATTTACTTATTTATTTATTTTTTGTTTTTTGGATAAGATCTCAATATGTAGCCTAGGCTGGCCTTGAATTTGTTATCCTCTTTCCTCCACCTCCCATGTGCTAGGATTATAGGACTGTACCACAACACCCAGCCAGTTTTAGAGTGAGAGTGACAGGAACCTGCTGCAAATAGCTTAAGCAAACAAGCAAATAAGCAGATGGGAATCTTCCAGGACTTTTGAGAAAAGTAAGACTTTCTTAGAAACCAAGTGCACTGCATGCAGCAGGGCTGAGCCTTAGGAAGAATTAGAACAAGGGGCAGGCAGGTCACGGGGACCAGAGGTAACTCTCATGCTCTCTCTTGGGCTGCGTAACTTCTCTTTGTAGCTTTTGCTTGTGTATCTACTTCATTCTCCTCCTCTGCAGCCTGGCTTCCTAGGCCTTTCCACTCACATCTGCAAAAATGTTTGTCAAGACTAGAACCTTCCACTGCCTACATCTGCTTCAACTCCCATCTGAAGCCCTCCAAAGGAATTCCAAAGGACAAGAGTCTGGTTGGCCCAGTCACCTGTGACCATGGAGGTGGCAGCTGGGGTGGGGTCTTTTATTTAATTTATATGAACATAGCTTCAGAGGTCTACTCCTGCCATGGGAGGGGGTCATTCCCAGGGAGGAGGAAGAAAAATGGATCATGAACTGGGCAGGTAACCAGGGATGGCATCTCCTGATGCGGGTTATCTGTGACAAAATGGTTTTCTTCTCACACTGGACCTTCCCTGCCACAAGGGATGTTTTTGGGCACCTGTGTACTAATCCCCTGCCAGCAGGCTCCTAGAAACTAATATGAGAGCAGTAGACACACAGCGCCTTTGACTTGCCATCAAGCATACTGTAAATGATCCTGACCCCTGCCTTTCTTCTCTCTAGTAGTCAAAGACAATGAGTCACAGACCCTCTTTCACATGCTGACACCTGAATAGCCCCAGGTGGAGCCTTCATGTCTTCAAATCCTGACCAGTGGCCCCTTCTTTGGAACCTCGCATGCTGTAGTGTTTACTTACAAATAAAAATAAATCACCTTTGTCTGTCCTAGGGAAGGCACTTGGGCTTATTTCCATCTCCTCTTTTCTAGAATAGGTAGTGCCAGGTCCAGAGGCTTGCTGTCAGCCTAGCTTGTGCCAGTGCCATTTTCTCCCAGCCTGGCATTACCGGATTGTTCAGTGCAGCCCCATGCTCGTAAAGTCTAGGTGGAGACCCAGGTCCGCCTCCAGGATAGGGATAGAAAATGACAGAGCATGTTTCTGCATGTTAAACTCCCCCTTTCCATCTTCCCATTATGAATGAAAATTTAATTGTGATGTTCTAACTCTCTGGATTTAGATAATGTTAAATAGTTCATTACCTACCTTGCAGCACTATGGGGAAAAATGCATGAGGAATACATGGAAAACTCTTAAAACAGACCCCATTCCTATGTGTTTAATGAATGTTTTCTGTTATTATTAGGCCTGGCTGAACTGCGCCCTCTCCTCCTGAGATGTAGCAGCCTGATCAGGACCATTCTTCCCAGGAGAAGACAATAGCTGGGTTTAATTGATTGAATCTTTGTTGTTGTTCTTATTTTTTATTTTTTGAGACAGGGTCTTTCTATGTAGCCAGGCTGGCCTCAAACTCAAGATCCTCCACCCTCAACCTCTTACTTGCTGGTACTGTAGACGTGGCTGCCGTGCCCATCTTAACCAAGTGAATCTTAATATGGTCTCTTCTCATATCTGAATGATTTTCAGTTTTTGTTTTGGCTATGGAGCCCAGAGTAAGAAGAGGCTATGAAAAAAAGTGGATTCTTTAAGAAATATAAGTAGGAAAGTCTTGCCTTTCACCGTTGGGCCCCTATGCCAAACAATTTCTTAACTCATGATGATTTTCCTTTTGTCATTTAACTTCCAAGCTACATCTCCCTCCCTTTTCCACCATCAGCCCAGATTTGGTCATTTGCATATCTTGCCTGATTTCCTGCAATTCCCCCTAACTGCCTCTTGCTCACCAGTGCCAGGTTCATCTTCCTTAACTTGCTCCTCTGTTTATGTCTTAGCCCTGCTCAAATGCCCTCAGTTTGCTTCCTGGTTATTTTCCCCCTTTGAAATAAAGTTTAAATGGGTGCTGTCCATAGAAATATTATATTAGTCACTATATAATTTTAAATTAGTCACATTTAAAAACATAAAAAGAGCCTGGTATGGTGGCATATGCCTGTAATCTCAGCAGTACTCGAGGTCTGAGTTCGAGCCTGCCTGAGCTACATAGTTAGACCCTGTCTCAATAAATTAAAAATATATAAATAAAAAGCAATATATGATCAATACTATTGATTTTAATAATATTTAATGCTTAATAAATTTTAATAATTTTATGTAACTCATTATACTCAAAATTATAATTTAGACCTATAATTAATATTAAAAACATTAATGAGGTATTCTATATATTTTTTTTAAAATACACTTAGAGCACTTCTCAATTCAGATGCCAATTTTCCACCGGAAATACTTAATCTCTATCTGGTAGTCATAAAATTTACAGTTTAAAAAAATAGATTCCCATGACCAATCTTGAAACATAGTTAAAAATTTTTCTAATGATTGATCAAATACCAATTTTAAAGTTTAAATGAAAGTCAGTGTAAAATCTGGGCCATTAGTCACACTGGGTGCATTTCAGCTGCTCAGTGACCACATATGCCATTGCATTATATGTCACAGATGTGACCTCTTCAGCCTAGCATCCCAGTGTTCCAGCCTCATCTGCTCCTCCCAAGCACAGGCTGCCCTTGCTGGCTCAGGGGACTCACTGTGTGCACTGTTGGCCCATCCATAAGCACTCATCACCATGCCCCACTGTACTTCCTAGGGCTTTAGAGTGTCAGGATCAGAGAGAACAGTTTGTTAGAGGACATGGGTGTTTGCTAAGGATGCATTTGGACTAGACCTGGAAAGCAATCAAGACCTAAGACTAGTTGAGATGCCAGCCCACCCTCTGTGGCTTCTCCCATGGCCCCTTTTCTTCCCTCTCCCCTTCAGCACCCTATCTCACTGGCTTGATAATGGAGCATCTGAGCTGGACAGCCCCAGCTAACAAGTGATCCCTGTTACTGTCACCTCTAGCTAGAGAAGCCAAATAGTAAGGTCTTTGTCATCTTTGTAGCAGGAGGCAGCATGGCCAGAGGACATTACGCCATTTTGTGCCCTTCCAGGAAGTAAAATCTGCCATGTCTGAGAGAGTTCTTTTTAGGAGGCAGTGCTGAGGCCCCAAGAAGGATGGATGGTTGTGGCTTCTTGGAACTTCCTTTTCAATTTTAATAGGGTAGGCCCTGTGCTTTGATCACCATCTACACTAACTATAAAGCCCTCATATCCCCAACTTGCCCCAAATTCCCACCATTGGAATCAACCAGGTGAATTCCTGTTTGTAGGAGGCACATATGTTCTGAGCCATGGCCCTTGTGATCACTGTGCTTGAAATATGTCTTCATTTTAGCTACTAAATGAAATACCCCAAGAAATGAGACCTAGGAAAGAGCAGTTTTGATGGAGGGAGGAGGAAGATTTGGGAATAATGGTATGGTACCTTTCAAGGAATAGGATCTAGAATCCAGTACTGAGGAGAGAGGTGGCCTAGGGCCTCAGAAGGAGAGGGGACACCCATCCTTGTGAGCTGTGTAGGGCCAGCTCTTCATTTAAGCAGGCTTCCACCATGGACTCAGATCCCCAAATTCCATTGCCTGGTGAAGCACGATAACCTATTTATTAAAGTGGCATATGCTTGTAGCCATTAGGCTATGCCAGTTATGGCATCCAAATGGGTGATGTAAAAGAATTTTTACCTGATGAGGTAGTCACCATTGCATACCTTTGACATTTGCAGTCAAAGGCCTTACCTTTGAATGCCTTGGATTTTTGCCACTTGTAAGATGGGCAACTCCAAGTAAGTCATTTAGTTTATGGCATCTTAAACTTTAATGTGAGTACAACTCACCTGGGGGTCTTGTTTAAAAAGCATAATTGGATTCAGCAGGTGTGGTATGAGGTCTGAGGTTGTGCGTTTCTAATAGGACTTGACCTCTGTTCTTCAGTGACCTCAGGTCTGAGAACCTTGGGTGTAAAGTAGGCAAGCTATGTGTGTTTTGTCAGTGTACACATAAGCTAAGGGTGTCTTTCCAAGAGGGCATGTGTTAGGCAGAAGAGCTGCGACTGGGTCTTTCCTCCTCTCACAAGACTTGACATTGGGTGGAGATCTCATACTTGCCACCTGTGCCACCACACTTTATATTGTTTCCTGGGTGACTCATGTCTTGGGAGAAGTCATGTAGTGACATCTTACTTATGAGCCTAGCAATTTGATAACCTCTAGTTGCCCTTCCTGTAGCTGGGGTAGATCCGTAAAATCTGGGATTAAGACATGGCACTCAGCCCTGGATCTTTGTCCTTGTCCGTCAGGTGATTGCTTTTTTGAAGTCTCCAGTGGGTCAGTACCTGGACAGGCATCCTTTCCTGGCCCTCACTGTGCTGGTGTTTGTCATCCTGTCAGCGATCCCTGTTGGGTTCTTCCTGCTCTTCGTGGTGCTCACCTTCCTGGCTGCTCTTGTGGGAGTCATATTACTGGAAGGTATCCTGCTCAGTTATTGGAAAATGAAGTTATTTTACCCTCTTTGAACCTCAAATTCAATAGGTAACAAAAAATGTGCAAAGTAGCCCAAGTGTAATACAGTTTGTGAGCAGTTGGCGTTGGAGGCAACCAGAGGGCTAACCAGTTGTTGCTGTGCACTGAGGCCCATGTGGGTGGTGAGAGCCCCATTTTACATGGATTTTTATGGGGAATCTCACTTCAAAAATCTGAAAAAACCATCATTATTTTAAATACATTGGTCCAGGGACTGCCTGTTTCAACCTGTTAAGGTGAATACTTCTAACCATGCTCTCCTCCTAGGACTGGTTATCTCTGTGGGTGGCCTGTCGTTGCTCTGCATCCTCTGTGCCTTGAGCTGTGTAGCACTTGCCATGTCAGGGACGATCATGGTATCCTACATGTTGGCCTCCAGCCTCTTCAACTACTGGTTTTCTCCGAGGTAAATACATATCAATAGAACAATTTAATTCTGGCCTTTTGGAGGGATTTTCCAAATAATACCCTAGCTCCAGATGGTATCTAGAAGCCAAATTGTAAGAGACAGGTGTTTCTCATAGTTCCCCTACATGTCAGACATCAAATAGGAATTTTCGATGGATTTTCAAACAAAACCTATTGCTACCATTGTCTGTCACACACTCATTTCATTGACACAGCAGCTCTATGAGACAGTTATTGATTCCTTTAAAAAAGTTGTCCATTTAATGTACAAAAGCCAAGTTAAGGTGTTTGGGGGGGTGGGGAGGAAGGGAAACAGGAGAAAAATGACCGTCCATTCTACTTAACGTGCCTACCCACCACCCCTAGCTCCCCTAGCAACTCTCCTAGCATGGTACAGGAGCCCGGAAACTGCTGTCCCCACAGTCAACACCTTGAGTGTGCCTCGTGTTTGACTATATAGATTTTGTTCCTTTGGTATGGCTTCCCCAGCCTTAACTGTTTAGATGCTAGAGAGAAAAGCAGCTGTATTGAAATTACTAGGAGAGGAGGTTCCATGATGTTAGCACTCTGAACTCTGAAATCACACTGTGATTGTCTATATGTTGCCCTCCTAAGGGATGTTCAACGTGACTCTTTTTGTGCTTGAGTTTTTGTCCTGTGTGTAGATTTCAGAATCTAAGTCCCCACGAAGCCCCTGTACTTCGTGTAAGCTTTCATTAATTCATTGATAGTGGTTAAGACCTGCTGAGCACTTGCTCTGTGCCAGAGCCTCTGTTAAGCACTTTCTAGGCCTCATCTCCTACAGTTGTCACAGCTCGTCCCATTCTGTGATAAGGAAAATGAAGCCAAGTCCCAAAGCTAAGAGTGGAGAACAGGGATTTAAATCCAGGTCAGTTAACTCTGTTAAAGCCCTCTTAACTAAGATATAAAGTGTCTCTCAGCAGTTTCTAGAAAAAGCCAGATGGTAAATATTTTAGGCTTTGTAGGCCATGTCTAGCACTGCTGCTATAGCACAAAAGCAGCAGCCGACAATAAGCAAATGAATGGGTGTGACTGTGTTTCAATAAAACTTTATTTACAAAAGTAGACAGCTGGCTAGGGTTGATTCCTGGGCCATGGTTTGCCAATCCTTTGGAATAACTTTGAACTTCTTATCAAAAGGTTAGCCTGTCATTATTCATTTGTTGAAGTGGGTGTAATTTAAAATTGCTTAGGGGTGGTTCTCACAGAATTGCTTAATTGATGTACCTGGAGTCAACATCCAGTTTTTCATACATTTCTTTGATTACTATCAGTCCTAAGGGAGATAAAAGGAGAAATGTGACCTATTTGGCTTATGGAGGGTGATGCTTCTGAGCCAAAATCTCTCCCTGCCTATGAACCCTCCTCTAATAGGGTGAGTTCTAAAAAATTATACCACAAGAAGTAGCAAAATCCAATAACTTTTTATCAATGAAGAAATTGAAAAATATACCTAGGATGCAGACTTGATCGCCTTCTCCCTCCTTCCTCTTCCCAGCCAAGGCAGCTGGTTAGAACCACAGTTCTCACTTGGGCAGAAATTCTCAAACTTTTTGTCCTTAGTATTCATTTTACCTTAAAAATAATTCAAGCATCCAAAGAGCTTTTGCTTATATGGTTCAATATCAATAATTATTCTGGTAGAAATTATAACAAATTTCCCATAAAATGAAGTTAGTAAGTGGCATTGCTTACATTTTATGAATGTCTGCCCTAGTAGAAGGCAGCTGGGTTCTCATTTGTATGTCTGCATTTGTCCCAGTGGAAATATTTGAAGACCCATCCTCACAAATGTGTAATGGGGGATGGAAGGCAAACTTTCTCCAGGTGATCGTGGATATTCTTCTCTGATGGCTCCCAGAACTCCAAGAGTGTAATTTCTTCAAAGTTAGCTGAAATAGGACTTTTTTTTTTGCAGTACTGTGATTTGAACTCGGCTTCATGCTTTGCTAGGGTGGTGCTCTGCTACTTGCGTCTTTCTGCCAACACTTTTTTGTGTTGGGTACTTTTGAGATAGAGTCTCACAAACTGTTCTGCCCAGGCTGGCTTCAAACTGAGATCCTCCTGTTCTCAGCCTCCTGAGTAGCTAGGATTATAGGTGAGAGCCACCAGTGCCCAGCTTGAAATATGAAATTTTTATACTCTATTAATTTAAATCCTTCCTCTATATTGCACTTTAAACAAATCTTTACCATTAGTGATTATGTAACTTTTTACTTTGGTTATTTGGAGAGTATTAGTCTACTGAATCTTGCAGATCTTCCAAGTATTCTATGAAAAACTTCACTGTTCCCTTGTGAGAGAATGAGATTGAAAAATGGCATAGGGTATGTTGTGTTATCATGAAACACCTGTCCTTAAAGAACTCCTGTATAGGCAAACTCCTTACAGCTCATGATGATAAGTCCCTTTCTGAATGATCCATAGCACAAAAGGAAAAAGAGGACTCACACTATTTATTCCATGAGTTAATGGATTTTGATCCTAAAACATAAAAGGTGACACAACTAAAAATTTTTAAAGAAACAAAATTATAAGACATTCTTACTTATAAAAGTCAGCTAAGCAATCTTTTGGAAAAACTCATTTCCCTGCCTCTGAGGTGACAGTGAGACCCTCCCAGGGCCTGCAGTGCAGTGGGAAGTGGGGACCCAGGCCAGGCTGAATTTATTTGTAGAGCCACCAAAGTCTCAAGTCTCCCAAGGAATCCAGAGCATGCCTAGCTTCCTCACATCTTTACTTAAGATGAAGAAAGGTGACTTTCCTAGTTTTATATTACCAAGTAGGAATGCTTTAGTTGGGAAGTAATGAAAAAAACCTAAGGAGATACTAAACTTAAATAGGGTATTATTTTTATTGCATAATAAAAATATGGAGACATCCCAGGGCTAATGCATCCACTCTGAGGTATCATCAACATACTAGGTACCTTTTGCCTTTCTGCATGCCATTCTTATTAGCCCATTGGTTTGCCACACGTGACCACAAGATAGCTGCTGAAGTTCCAGGTATATCAGCTACATTCAAAGCAGGATGAATGGAGAGAAAAAAAAAGAGTCCTCACCAATTGAGTCTGGTCCTTTATCAAGTAGGTGAAATCTTTCCTAAAACCCCTCTCCCTTGTCCCCGAACAGACTTCACTGGCCAGAACTTTATCAGGTGGGAATATTCAGGTTGGTTTGTTGGTTTGTTGGTTTCTTTTTTATCTTTCATTAGCATAAACTCAAGGAGGAGGACTTTGGGAATGTGTGTTGGTCAGACAGACTGGTGTGTGACACCCACAGTGGGCATTCTGGTGGCCAGGCTATTTGAAATTCAAAGAGTCCATAGATACAATTAAGTTACTATCAATTACCTTCTTTCTCAACTGCCCTCTGAAACTTCCAGTCACAGGACTGAAAAAAACCAATTTCTCTTCCTCTTATCCTCTGCCTTCTATTGAAAGTGTCAAAAGACTAATTGGAGTTGGGCATTGGTGGCTCATGCATGTAAGTCTAACTACTCAGAAGGCAGAGATCAAGCGGGTCGCGGTTCAAAGCCAGCCTTGGGTAAATAGTTCAGTGAAACTCTATCTCGATAAAACTCATCACAAAAATGGGCTGGTGGAGTGGCTCAAAGTGTAGGCCCTGAGTTCAAACCCCAGTACTGAAAAAAAAAAAAAAACACTAATTGGAATCAACACATATATCTGAGTCCCAGCTCTGCCACTTTTTAGCTGTGTGATGTTGACCAAGCACTTAACTTCTCTGATCTGTTCTCTTCCATTGGTGAAATAGGACTACTTCTTGTCCTGAATTTCTTGCTAGATTGTTGCAAAGACACAGCAACTGGGGAAAACACAATATGCAAAGTAGAAGAGGGGAAAGATATCATACCACTACCCTCACCCAGTCATTTTCATATCCCATGCCCTCAGTTTGTTCTTCTATAAAGTGGATATAGCCCCAAATCTGATGTGGTTGCAAGAGGCAGCTAAAACAAAGTCAGCAAAGAATGTCATACATTCAGCTATGAATACTCTCAGCATTACTTTTGAACTAATTATTTTGTCTTATCACCAAACAGACCACTGATATAGCAAAACCCTGGCGGTGACTGTCAGCTGGCTATGAAGTCCTCAGGCTTCAAGGAATGACAGACAACCAGAACCAAAGATTGTTGTCAGGCATCTCAGAAAAGCTGTTGTGTTACACTTGCCCCTTGGAATTATGGCAGAGGGAAGGGGTCTGGATAGTCAGCACTGATTGGCTTGTCCTCTGGCTTCTTTACTTACTGGGTGTAAAATCCTACTATGGCCCAGGTGGCCTCTGACCTACTACCATGCCAAGGTCAGGGTCCTAGGTCTCCAGAGCCTGGCCACTTGACCCAGAACCTCAGGACTTGCACTCAAGGCCCCATCTGGGTTGGTTTTTTTGTGGGTTTTTCTTTGTTTTTGTTTTTTAAAATGAAGGACGCTGTTTATTTTTTCACTCATTTGAAAGAAGAGGTGGGACAAACAATCCAAAACAGAACTTGCACATTTGTTTTATTCACTTTTTATCAGAAAGAACAGCACATTGGGGAATAATGGCCTCTCAAAGTTGAGTCTCTTCTTAATGTTACAACTGAAAGTCTTTGAAAAAGCCTCAAGGCCTGGTTTCCAAGATGCCAGTCACTGCTGTTGCTGTCTTACATATTTGCCCTTGATACTTTTGTATTGTTTCAGCAAACCTGACCTGTTAAGCCATTTCTTTAAAAAAAAAAAAAAGCTAAAAGACTACCAAGTAAAATAAAAACATCCCATGTGATTTCAACCTTTGTGGTTTATTTTCTGTGGCATTTTACTAAATATTTATTTGGATGAGTGGGTTTTCTTTTCTATATTCTTTTTCCCTCCTGCCCACATATATCAGACTTGCTGTGTTAGTCAGATTTCTATTACTGTGAGAAAATGCCTGAGATAATGAACTTTATAGGTCATGGTTCCAGAATTTTGGCCCATGGTGCTGGGCCTACTGATTTGGGCCTGTGGCAGCACAGTACATCATGGTGGGAGCACATCGTGAGGAGGCCTGTTCACTCCATGGTAGATAGGAAATAAAAAGATCGGAAGGGACTGGATCCTAATATCCCCTTCTAGGGTATGTCCCCAATCATCCTTAGGAAGTTATTCCTTCTACTAGGTCCCAGGCCCTGAAGATTCCACCCCCTCCCAACAGCACCATAGGCTTGTGACTAAGCCTTTAACACATGGGCCTTTGGGAAACACAGAAACCATAGCACCTGCCTATTCCTTTGTGATTGATTTTGTGATCCTGAGTAATACGACTTTTTTAGTTGTTAGTGATAGATACCTAATTCATAGTTGCTTTTTAAAAAGTGGGTGGGGGGGAGGTGGGGAGAATGGGAGATTAGTTTCACTCAACCAAAAAGCCAAGGGGAAAATCTTCAGGCACTGCTGAATCCAGGGGCTCAGATGGCCTTACCCCTGCTTTTCCCCTTGTGTGCCACTTTTTCAGGCAGGCCTGCCCCATGTGTAGGTTGCTGTAGCTCTAGTTGGCACCCTGTACCTAGTAAGAAACTTACTAGTTTCTTTCCCCATAGTTGATGCAAATTGGGTGTTCGGCTCTGATTGGATAGACTTGGGTCATGTGAGCAACACTGAAGCAATCACAGTAACCAGCACAATAGAGTCAATGGAATATGTTCATATGGCAGGGCTGGGACATGTGTCCATTCAGCAGCCAAGGAACAGGTCAATCCCATTGGCTCCACATAGGTCGGGGATGGTGAAGTGAAGAGAGACAGAAGGAGACTCCCAAAGGAATAGCAGAAGAAATATTTGCTGGGCAGAGAAAAACAAATGCTGCTACTTGCTGTAGGTGGGGCATAAATTAATTTGGTACTGAAACTTTTTTTTCTTTTTGGTGGTACTGGGGCTTGAACTCAGGACCTACACCTTGAGCCACTCCATCTGTACTTTGTGTGTGTGTGTGTGTGTGTGTGTGTGTGTGTGTGTGTGTGTGTGTGTGTGTTAGGTATTTTCAAGATAGGGTCTCGTGGAACTATTTGCCTGGGCTGGCTTTGAACCACAATCCTCCTGATCTTTGCCTCCTGAGTAGCTAGGATTATAGGCATGAGCACCTGGCTGCTTGGTACTAAAACTTCTGTATCCCATGACATTCAACTGAACTTGACACTAAAGGTGGATTCATCTCCACTGGAGAACAAGAACCACCTAGTCCTGCCAATACTGTGGAGGTATTAATATTAACAGATATTATTTATTGAATGTCTGTTTCCTTCATACAAGTGTCTGCTATTATCTATCTATGCTATTTACCCAGCTAGGTTCTGAGGCTTTAATAATAATGAATGCAAAGGTCCCTGGCCTCCTTCCTGAAGATTACTATCTAATGCAGAAGTTACTTAACAACTGAATTTGTTATTTTGCTACCTAAGAATTTACCACCTACTATTGGTTTAAAAAAACCACATGTATTATCTCACATGTTCTGTCAGTTAAGAGTCCAGGCATGACTTGGCTGGACCCTTCACAAGACTGCAGTATTACTGGGTTTTCATTTGAGATCTGACCAGAGAAGGATGTTTATCCAAGTACATGTAGTCATTGCAGCATCAGTTCCTTGCTGGCTTCTGGGCTGAGGTCTTTAGTTCTTTTCTGCATCTCCTTCTCCAAATGGTGGTTCACAGTGTGGCAGTTTGCATCTTCAAAGCCACCAAGGGAGAGTCTCTTAGCAATATGGACATTGAGTGAATTTCCTTGGAAGGCCTAAACAGTCACATACCTCCAAATGGGATGACACCGTAGCCCAAAGAATGATTCAAACAAATCTACTTAGAATGAGTAAAAATAAGTTTTCATAGGGGTCATTTACAGAGCAGTGACCACTACAGGGAGCTGTCTTTATCTGCCCTGGTCCATGACTCCCAAAGAGTTGTCACTTGGACTCTTCCAGCCCCTCTCCTCCCTCAAGTCACCACCTCCCACCACTACCACCAAACTCTTCTTTTTACATGGCTTCAAGTCATAGCAGAAATCTGGACTAGAGAACCACCTAAGGTCAAAAGCAACAGAAGCAACCACAGCTCAAATACAAGACACAGACCCTGCGAAAGGTACGTGTTTACGTGCACTCTGTCCTTTCTTTCCTCAGGATCTGTTGACCTTGGCGGACCCAGTCCCATCGTGGGAAGGAGGCTTCTTGTTCTGCAGCCTGGCATGGACAAGAGCCATGGTGGGTTGCTGCCAGATGGAGTTAGGGCTAGGAGTCAGAGGACCAGTCACACTACATTAGGTAACATAACCATGTGTGCATAATCACATATATCTTGTCATGGGAAATACCCGCCTGAAGAAGGGGAACACAAGTGCATGGTAACCATACATGGAGGTGACAGTTCACTTTAGAGTCTACCCACTACAAGTGCACAAAATATTAGTCTGTGATACATGCATAGAAGAAAAGTCAAAGGGTGACACATATCAGAGATAGCCCATTGTCACCACAGTGGTCACGGATTTCTTCTCTCTGAATCAAAGGATAACAAGTTGCTGCCATGCCAAACACTGTGAGGAGTATACCTGGTGGAGAGCACAGCAGCCTAAGGTCCCAGAAACTGTAAGAAACTTAATGTGCTTAAGGAAAGGGAGAGATGTGTGGCTGAGCCTGGTAAGCCAAAAGTAAGTGGAGAGACGAGCTCAGGGTTGAGACAATAAGGGATCATATGTGGAGCAGTGACAAGGTCAGGCATAGGTTTACACATCACTCCTTGGCCAAAGGATTGGGAGCAGGAAGACCACTTAGGAGGTCTGCAGAAGTCCAGAGCACAGGATGGCTGTGGCTTGTAATTTACACTAGGGTGGAGGGAGTTATGACCTCCATTTGGAGAGCCAGGAGCATCTGTTGATGAATTGTGTGGGTGAGAAGGAAAAGGGGACACGGACTGACATGTAGATTTTTAACAAGCCAGAGAGTGGCCAGTGATACTGTTTTCTGAGATGGGGACTGTGTGAGAATCAAATCCTACTTTGCTCATATTAGGACTGATGTGGGTTTTTCTTTCTTTCTTTTTTTTTGCTTCCAAGAGGATGTCTTGTTGGGGCCTTTAACTGGTAGCCCACCTAGCCTAGAAATCAGCTATAACTGGCATGACCCTTGGGTAACCTCATGAAGAGGAAGATAGCCTTGAAACAGGGTTGTAAAACATGGTAAACTGTCAATTAAAAGCTGTAACCTCGGACAGAGCTGTGAGGAATTGCTCATTAGAGCCATGCAAAAGTTTGGGACCGAGATGAAAGGCACCATGCAGAGATAAGCACCCATTCCTGCCTTTCTTTGTCTCCACCTGTAAATAAACTTTCCAAAGTAGGACTCCCTGCTGTTCTTATCTAAACCTTAGGTTTCTATTCCACTACTAGCCCCTAATTTATGGGAGAACACATTCCTTGTAACCTGATAAGTAAGCCTCTGGTGTTTCCCCAGCTCCCAATAAATAATATTACCCCACCACCAGGATGTGCGCAAGATCAGGAAAATGTGACCCCAGGGGCATGAGGAATTCCTATGTGACGATGATTGATGCTTTAAAGAGTATAAGATATGCTTAAGGTTTTCTCTCGGGGTCCTTGCTGAAACCTGCTGCGTCAGGCGGATACTCGGACCCTAGCCCGGCTAGAAATAAACCTCGCTGTGTGACCTCCTTTGTCTCGAGTGTCCTTTGTCCTCTCAGAAGGTGGCCGGCCTCTTACCCTAACAGTGTCAAGTAGAAAATTGACTTAGCAAGTGAAATGAGCTAGCTAGCTAGGATACAAGATTTAGGAGTGTTTTCAGTGCTGAGCACTCAACCCACAACCTTTTGTTTTTTTTGTTTTGTTTTTAAGAATCAGAGAAGTTTTATTTGTAGAGAAGAGAAAGGAAAGTCCACATGGGGGGACATGCAGCAGGACCCGGAGACCAGTAGTCCCTTGTTTTTGTTTTTATCCTCAATCCACAACCTTTTTGTGATACATTTTTCAGCAAGGAGCCAAGAAATCATTTCAAAATATATTTCTAATTACATAAACACTCTTGCTTCAAACTTGGCCTAGAATAAGGTGCTTTCCCCTTACTCAGAAGTGCTAATTCCTCCCTCCTAGGGGCTTCTTATTGTTCATATCCCATCAGCTCTAGATTACAGGGTTGAAAACAAGGTTCTGAAATTAAATGACTCACCTAATTGAGTCAGGAACTGTGGAATATAAATCAAAGCTTTGCCATAAGATTAATTCAGCCTTTCTCACACTGCCTGACCTTAAGGCCTTTGCTGATCAAAGAGAAGTAGTAATTCACAAAACCCTAGCACAGTGCTTATAGCAGAACAATATGAATATGCATGAGTGAATCTAAGTAGAGGTTCAAGTATTCTCCTTGAAATCAAGTAGGATAGGCATCTGTTAACCAGGCTGTGGAGGGCCGTTAAGGACTTAAGGCTAAGGGTATTAAACGGGAAACACTGGCCTTTTATACACAGTTCAATGTGTGGCTCGTTAGAAAGGTAATTAATTCCCAGAGCATGAAAGCTGTGATTTTATACAATGTTAACTTACTATGTCTAATTTTTATGTTTTACTTACTGTTAAACATTTGCCATGTGCTGTATGCTGTCTTAAGCCCTGCATACATCAGTACATTTCCAGTCAATCTATACTACTCCCCACTTTAAAAATGAGGGAAGTAGAAAGATTGAGAGGTTAAATTGCCTAAGGGTACATCCAGTGATAGATGAGATTCC